CGAGGCTCACCGAGCCACTTATCTCTCCCCCTTCAATTAACGCCACATGTGTTTATTGGCCATGTTGGCACGATAAACTTTAAAGCTATCACTTATTATAGTAAGAATAGTAAATCTAAGAAGCCTGACCTTATGAACTTGCTTTTGCTTTTAGAACATTGCACGGTCTTGAGGTTTTTGAGCCGTGGGGTTCAGTCCTAATGCCTGTCCTTTTGGATACCCCACCGAGTGTGCTTTCAGACCCCCATTCAAGCTGTGCTCTTTTCTGACAGTGCATTGGACCCATGATTACTATTACTCTCCATCCAAAAATCACCCACGCGGCTGAAGAGAAGACAATCCATTTCCCCCCTCGCTCTCCAGTGAGCCATAGCGAGCCCCACTGAGCTAGGCAGATGTGCTCGGACCACTGGTTAAAGACGGTCTCCCACTTTGGAAAATGTCAGCGAATGATGATGGGGGATAGGTCTGTCTGAGTCAGAAACAGAGTTCAGCTTTCAGACGGGGCTTGCCAGCACTTTCCTCAGGTGCCTGAAGGATGAAGGGGCAGAGCCTCTGGCTGCCCCAGACCCTGGTGAGAGCTGGGTCTTAGCCAAGTGAGAATGGGCACCCTTACAAATCTCAGTTGTGAATGAGAATGGGCCCTGTTCCTCAGCTCTGCTCATGGCCCCCCGCAGTTTGGGGCTTCACCCCCAGGAGGGAAAGGCACTCTGTGAGTTGCAGGTCTCTTGTTGTCTCTCTGTTGTTTTGGGTCGGCACCCTGCAGGAGAGACTGGATGGGGGTGATCGACTCATTGGAGGGAGGGAGGGAGGATAGAAAGCAAGCAGGTTGGCGATAGAGAAGGAGGCTCAGGCGTCTTCCGTGCCCCTGCCTTTCCTTCGGTTTCAACCTGTGCTTTAATCTCTCTGGACGTTGGCCTAGACTGGACAGAGTGTGAACAATGCACGCCCTTGTTCTCCGTGGGGGATGTCCTGTTGGGATCCTGCTCTGCATTCACCAGACTCAAGGGCCTGGACTAAAGCCATCCAAGTTGCAATGCCGGTGTACACAGGTGTTTCCTCTCACCGTTTGGAGAAGCTCTGATTCAGGGGTGGGAGCAATAGTTGGGGGTTGTTTCTGTTTGGTCCTATTTCCAGTGAAATCTCACTCGAGTCACAGACTCATAGGGACACTCCCACTCACACCCTGTGGGTTTCTGAGACTGGTACTGTTGATCGGAGTTGAAAGCCTTGTCTTTCTCCCTTTGAAATGAAATAAGCACGTGTGATCATAGAGGTTGGAAGTCTCCTTGGGGCAGTTACGTAATCTCTCAACCTGCGAAGGGGTGGAGTTTAGCCTGTCAATCAAATTGCAGCTTGATTACCTCATTTGGAGGCACTAAGGAGATAAATAGCTCCCTGGAGGCAGGACACACAGACACTCTCTGCTTCCTCTTCTTGCTGACAAGACACCTGGTGCTATGCTAGAGCCTTGGAGCTGGAGGAGCCATGTAGAGACTCCCACCAATGCTGAGATGCTTCCGCTGCCACTGGATCCACAAGACTTTCCACCCACTGACCTGTGATCTTCCTGTACTCGGTGTCATTGCATGTGTTGCATGAGTCTGAAGAAGTTATAGACGGGTATCGGACATGTGGGATAATATTGGACTTATGGACTTGATCTGGACTGGGCTGGGATGTTTTCTTAATGTACAATTGCTCTTTACATAAAGCTCTTTCTTATACATACATGGGTGTCTCTGGATTTGTTTCTCTAGTCAACCCGGACTAACACACTCCTGCATGCCGGGAATCAGGGAATTGGTTAAATAGTGTATCCTGCCTCTCACACTTGGTAGTAGTTGTTAGAAGCCATCGATGCAGTTCTGATCCATAGTGACCCTGTGCACAACCGGACGAGACCCAGCCCTGACCTCACCACCCTCACAAGGAAGACTATGCTTGAGCCCCTTGTAGCTGCTGTCTCCATCCATCTTGCTGAGGGCCTTCCTCTTTGTGGCTGCCCCTTAACCACACATGCTGTCCTTCTCTGGGGACTGGTCTCTCCTGACAACATGTCTACAGTATGTAAGATGGGGGAGCAGCCCTCGGCCCACCCACCCACACACACCCAAGAGAGTTCTCGCTGCACCAGACCTGGGGGAAGGTATGTCAGATGCAGTCTCACCACCCTTGCCTCTAAGAAGGACAGTGGCCGTGCTTCTTCCTCGACAAATGTACCCTTCTGGCCGTCCATCGTGAATACCTTGAAAATACTGACTGATAAGCCCATTTACTGCAGGGCAAGATGTGTACCCTAGACTGTTAAGTGAGAACAGAGCATACATATCCACAAAATACTCTTTTGAGCATTAATTTGCATGCCGTTTTTTTTCTTTGTGGTCAATGGTTACAAGTAGCACACCTGTCTTGCAGAGAAAAAAGGGAAAGAAATCACTGAGTGTCAATTTTGTATACATAAAGGAGAGAATAAAATCAATGATGGCTGTATAATCCCACTCAAGGGGAATGAATGACAGAATCGTAGGTGAATGGATACATTGGATGGTGTAAGATAGGGAAAATCATATATATATATAATAAGGGTTCCTGGGCGGTAGGGTAGGGAGGGAGGGGATACAGGGGAGCTCTAGTATCAAAGAGTTCAAGAAGAAAACATGTTTTGAAACTGATGGTGGCAGCAATTGTACATTATGCTTGATCTAATTGAATTATGGATTGTTGTAATATCTGTAAGAGCTCCCAATAAAATGGCTAATAAGAATAATTTTTTAAAGAAAAAAAACAGAGCATTGGGAAAGGTTAGATATCAGGGGGCAGGGAGTTTCTGCTGGTGATGTTGGGAGAATTGGAAAGAACGGGCCTAATGGTTAGGCAAGGTGGTGAACATCATCCGTGTCAGCGGCTCTACTGTCAAATGGGTTGACCTGGTAAATATTGTATCCCGTGCGTTCACCGCAATGGGAATTAAAAAGGACCAGGTGTCCTGTTGTCCTGTGTCGGCTTGGAGATGGGATAGGTATCTAAACACATGTGGACACATGGACGTGTTTGCACGGAAGACCAACCATTTGAACAGATGTTTAGCCAGGTATTAAAAAACAATAGTGGGATTGGAGGGGTGTTTTTCCTTTTCCTTTTTTCTTGTATTGATTTAGTTTGACCACTTTCTCCACACATGATTTTAAAAAATTGTATTTCTTGAGTACCCACTAAGGGCCAGGCACACAGTCTTCTATTTAGCTTTTAAAGTTGAGGGAAGCCAAGGATGGAAAGGGGAGAAGGTGCCCCTTCTGCCCCTCTAGAATCCACCTTCATCTGGCATAAGCTAACCTAACCTACTGGATGCAGAATGTGCATGTATGGGGGTGCGGGTGGCGGGACGACTCACTGCCCGTGAGTCAGTTCTGATGTGTACCCTATACTACCAGGTACTGTCAGGGGAAAGCCGCAAAAAAACCCTCTAGTTTGACTAGAGGCATAGCCTGGTCTGACTCTGGGCATAGCCAGATGATGCTGGGCATTGGTTGGCTTTGCTGGTCCTGGTCCCACAGACTGCTAATGCATGCTCTTTTCTGTCCTGTATGGCCCAGTGCCTGGCTGGGGACAGTATGCAAGTACAGCTCTTGGTGCTTCCTCTACCTGAGCAAGACAGTTCAAGACCCCCCAGCCTGTTCTGTGGACAGCCAGCCCCTTCCTATTTGTACAGATGCATTTTTACCAAAGAGGGAGCACTAGGTCAGCATTATTATTTTATTGCGGCGAAGATACAGTTATCACCACATTTCTTCATGTGTACAATTTAGTTACCGAATTATTTTGTTGTTAACCATTCTCAATACTAATAGCTCCATTGTGAAAGCTGATATATATATTTTTTAAAACCCAACTCACTGCCATCATCTGACTCATGGTGACCCTATAGGATAGGGTAGAACTGCCCCTGTGAGTTTCCAAGACTGTCACTCTTTTTTTTTCTCCCCCTTTTTAAATTATTTTATTGGGGGCTCGTACAACTCTTATCATGATCCCTACATCCATCCATTGTGTCAAGCACATTTGTACATTTGTTGCCATCTTCATTTTCAAAACATTTTCTTTCTACTTGAGCCCTTGATATCGGTTCCTCATTTTTTCCCTCCCTCACAAACCCTTGATAATTTACAAATTATTTTTTCATGTCTTACACAGTCTGACGTCTCCCCTTGCCCACTTTTCTGTTATCTGTCCCCCAGGGAGGGATTATACGTAGATCCTTGTGATCTGTCACTCTTTGTAGGAGTAGAAAGCCCTGTCTTTCGCCTGTGGAGCAGCTGGTAGTTTTGAACTCCTGACCTTGTGGATCACAGCCCAGTGAATAACCAGGATGCCACCAGGGCTCTTGAAAGCTGATAGAGATTTAAAATGTCTCTTGCTTGGGAGAACCATTCCTTAGATTGCTTCACCCCAAGATGAGAAGCCTGAGCATTTGATGGAAAACTAGAAGACAGATAGACGGATGGGCCATTATCTCCCTTAGGAGATCCAGCGGGATTCTGCCCTCCCAATTCCGGGGTCTGGAATAGAAGTCAGAGGATAAGTCCTGGTACACATGACCGCTGGGGTGCTAGTTCTCAACCATGGCTGCACTTTGGAAGCTTAACAACAAAAGTGACAATGCCTGGATCCATGCCCAGGTAGTTCTGATTTTCCTTGGTCTGAGTGTATCCTTGACACTGGGAGTTTTTAAATCTCCTCAAGTGATTTAATGCATGTCCAAGGCTAGAAACCATGCCCTAGAACACCAAGTAGCCTCATTCCATCCCATCCCCACAATCCAAAGAGACAAAGTTGGTGGGGGCCAGCCCTACCTAAGAAAAGCAGTATGAATTAAGTCCCCAAAGGCATTCGGGGTTCTCAGGGGTCCAGCTGGGGCAAGGGACCTGCCGAGAGGCCTGGTTACCCACACTGCTCTGAGATCAGCTTGATTCTGACTCTTCCTTCTCCTTTTCGTCCAGTATGGAATCGTGCTGGATGCTGGATCTTCCAGAACCACAGTCTACGTCTATCAGTGGCCGGCGGAGAAGGAGAATAATACAGGAGTGGTCAATCAAACGCTCAGATGCAGTGTGAAAGGTAAGGCTGTAATATGTCTCGGAGACCCGCTGTGGAGTTGTGTAGTGTTCCTTATAAGGCCGCTCAGAGATCTGGGAAGTCCTGGGCAAGTCCCCAGAGGCAGAGAAAGATTACTGGGCTGAGTGGGAAGAAATGAGATCTTGTGTTTGTCCTGCTGTTCTTCAGTGAGTGACCCTGGGCCCGTCACTTCCCTTCACTGAGCCTCAGTTTGCTCCTCTGTAAATATTGGGGGACGGGGGGGCATGTCAAGAACTGTGAATGGTCTGAGATTTTTCCTTGACACAGCTTCGTGGGTGCTTACAGAGAGCATGAGAATCCCGGGTTACAAAGGAAGTACAGATTATTACTCACAGTCCTAGCAATGGGCAGAGTATTACCACTTTCTTGTGCTCCTTCTCAGAGCCTCCGTTCTCACAGGGTGGTGTGCAGAGAGCCAGGTGGTGCCTGATCATGCAGTGGTCCTGTTACAGAAGAAGACCCCTGAGGTCAGGCCGCCTGAAACCTTGACAACTGCCAGTGAACATGCTTGCCCTTTGCTTGGGAGGGAGACAGGCACGTCGCTTTCGGAAGCGGTTCACTATATAAAGATCCTTGAAAAGAGAGTTTATAAGCAAGGCAGTGGGTACCTCTGTGCAAAAGACATTCAGAAAGATGAGGGATCCACTGAGAATTGCCTTCTCTTGTGGGGAGGGGGCAATGTATGCATTTGGGGGTGGTATTCAATGCATACTTAAGTGGACATGGCTGTGTACTACTAAGGAGCCCTGATGGTGTTGTGGGCTATGTGTTGGGCTGCTTAACCACAAGGTCAGCAGTTAAAAATTACCAGCCGCTATGTGAGAGAAAGATGAGGCTTTCTGCTCCCTTAAAAATGTACAGCCTCACGAAAGATATTTATAGAGGTATAAACACAGGCATGTACATATGTAAATGTATTCGTATGTAATGATAGGGATATAGGTCCATGCACATACCTGTATAGGTTAAGTTTGAAAGTAGCAGGCAGACATTGGGCCTCTAACTCAAGTCCTCCCTTAACTTAAGAACACTTTGTTCTAATAATCTGGCATTCTGGGATGCTCACCTTCCCGACATGATTGCTGAAGACAAAATGGGTGCAAAAGCTAATGTGGTAAAGAAAGCTGATGGTGCCTGGCTTTCAAAAGATATAGTATCTCAGGTCTTAAAGGCTTGAAAGTAAACAAGCATCCATCTAGCAGAGAAGCAACTAAGCCCACCAGCCTGTGTAATCATGAGGTGTCAACAGGATCAGGTATCAGGCATCAGAAGACCCAAAACAAACAACCATTTTGATGTGAATGAGGGGGCTAAGAATGGAGACCCAAAGCCCATCTGTAGACCGCGGGACATCCCCTCACAGAAGGATCACAAAGAAGGGACGAGCCAGCCAGGGTGTAGTATAGCACCAATGAAACACACAACATTCCTCTAGTTCTTTAATGCTTCCTCTCTCCCACTATCATGACCCCAGTTCTGCCTTACAAATCCAGCTAGACCAGAGCATGTACCCCGGTACAGGTAAGAGGTCTCGACACAGGGAATCCAGGACAGATAAACCTCTCAAGAACAGTAATGAGAGCAGTGACAACATGAGGATAGGGGGATGGTAGGGGGCTGGGGAAAGGGGGATAAAGGGGAAACCGATCACAATGATGGACGCATAACACCCCACCCCGCCCCCCAGGAGGATGAAGAACAGAAATGTGGGTGAAGGGAGACAGCAGACAGTGTAAAATATGGAAATAAAAATAATTTATAAATTACAAATGGTTCACGAGGGAGGGAGGGGAAAAAGAGGAGCCGATACCAAGCACTCAAGTAGAAAGAAAATGTTTTGGAAATGTTGATGGCAACATATGTACAAATGTGCTTGATACAATTGATGTATTGATTGTTATAAGAGCTGTAAAAGCCTCCAATAAAATTAAATAAATGAAAAATATATACTACAGCCTCAGAAACTCACAAGAGCAGTTCTCCTGTAGCGTTGCTGAGTCAGAACTGACTGACAGCAGTGTGTGTTTTGCTTTAGTCTTCTAGCACAGCTTTACTTATGGGCACTATGATTTAAATGTTGTGTGATTTTCAAATATTACAAAATACTACCACACTACTTTCCATTGCCTCCCACCCCCACCCCCAGGTTATACAAAAAACCATTAGCTCATGGGCTGCTAACTCCCAAAATAGAATGTTATCACATATTTAATGACCCCTGGGTGCTACTCTTTCATTGCAACTCCGTGGCATACCCCACCCCCAACCGATCCTGAATTTTCTTCTTTTTTTGATGTGATTTCTTTTTAAAATATTATTATTAATCATTTTATTGGAGGGGCTCTTACAAGTCTTATAACAATCCATCATTCAGTTGTATTAAGCACACTTGTACATATGTTGCCATCAACATTTCCAAAACATTGTCTTTCTACTTGAGCCCTTGATATCAGCTCCTCTTTTCTCTTAATTTTCTATGAACTGTCTTCTTGTTTCTGTTTAAAGGTTTGTTCTTGAAATCATTTCGTTTTTCCTGTTTTATAAAAAAACTAGAATCAACATACATTCGTTTGTAATTTGTTTTGTTCGCCAACGCCGAGTTTTTAAGATTCCTTTATGTTGTCCCAATAGTTGTTACTAATCCAGTTTTTTCTTGTAAGTGATGGGTATTCCTATTTCCCTGTTTAGTAATCAGGCTGAGGATTTTTAAATATTTTTATAGCCATTTCTATTTCCTGTGAAATCCCTGTTCCTGTGTTTTGCTCTATTTTCTACTGGATTGTTAGACTTTTATTGATTCTGGGAATTCTTTACAGTCTGCACGTGAGTACTTTGTTAATATGCTCTTATGGTGACTATCTTCTCAGAGTTTATGGCTGGTAATGTTACTCTCTTTGTGACATGTGATCAATAGAAGTTCTTATATGTTTATGTAGGGGCAATGATCCATATTTTTCTTTATGGATCACTTGGTTTGTTTTTTCAAAGATCATTTTATTGGGGGCTCTTACAGCTCTTATAATAATCCATACATCCATTGTATCAAGCATATTTGTACATATGTTGCCATCATTGTCTAAGCTTTTACTTTCTATTTAAGCCCTTGGTATCAGCTCCTCTTTTTTCCCCTCTCTCCCCCCTTCCACCCTCATGATCCCTTGATAAATTATAAACTATCATTATTTTCATATCTCACGCCGTCTCCTTTCCCCCCCCCAGTTTCTGTTGTTCCCTCCCCTGGGTGGGGGTGGTGATGGTTATGTGTCCACCATTGCGATCAGTTCCCCCTTCATCCCCTCCTCTCCCCACCTTCTTCCCACCCTCCTGGTATCACTACTCCCATTTCTGTTCCTGAGGGATTTATCTGACCAAGATTCCAGGTGTCCTGAGCATTTATCTGTACCTGTGTACATGCTCCGGTCTAGCCAGAACTGAAAGGCAGCATTGGGGTCATGATCGTGGGGGTGAGGAATCCTCAAAGAACCAGAGGAATATTGTGTGTTTCATCGGTGCTTTGCTGCCCCTGGTTGACTCATCCCTTCCTTGTGACCTTCTGTGAGGGGATGTCCCATTGTCTATAGATGGGTTTGGGGTCTCTACTCCAGCCCCCCTTATTCTCAACAAAATGTTTTTTGTTTGTTTTCTTGTGTTGGGTCTTCTCATGCCTGTTACCCGATCCCATCGGCACCTCATGATTGCACAGGCTGGTGTGCTTCTTCCATGTGGGCTTATAGGTTCCCTGATATATGGCTGCTTATTTAACTTCAAGCCTTTAAGACCTCAGGTGCTATATCTTTTGATAGTGCAGCACCATCAGCTTTATTCACCACATTAGTTTATGCACCCGCATATGTCTTCAGCGACCGTGCCAGGAGGGTGAGCATCACAGAATGCCAGGTTGTTAGAACAAAGTGTTCCTGCATTGAGGGAGGGTTTGAGAAGAGGCCCAAAGTATGTATGGGTTACCCTTTTGCATGTTTTATTGAAGACATCCTTTCCTATCCTGAGATCATAAAGATAGTCTTCTCTCAAAAGCTTGGTAATTTTGCCTTCTATGTTTTCATCTTTAATCGACATCATCAAGGTCAGTTAATGAGTGTATGTATATGTGGTTCTTAAATCCACCCTCGAAAGAAGCATGATGATCTTTAAGTGAGTCTGAAGCTTGCCCCCCAGTGTGTTCCAGGTGGGTTCCAGGTATACCCTCACCCTACAGTGCAACAGAGCCCTCAGAGCATCCACATAATCTAGACCAGTGATTCTCAACCTGTGGGTCGTGACCCTTTTCATAACAATAGCAAACTGACAGTGATGAAGTAGCAACAAAAAATAACTTTATGGTTGGGGGGGTGGGGGTCACCACAACCTGAGGAGCTGTATTCAAGGGTCGAGTCATTAGGAAGGTTGAGAACCACTGCTCTAGACCAATGCATCTCACCAAAGTCCGCTCATCCGTTTCCTTCAAGGAGCTGTACAAATGCAATGGCTTGGAGGCCGTGGTACTGGCAATGATGGGATGCAGAGTTAGCCTTTCCCACAGGGAGAATGGAAGTCTTCTTTGTGTAACCTGGTGCATCCTGAACAGCGAGCCTCAGGAGGCTGGCTTTTCACTGTAGGAAGAGGTGGGGTTTTGTGGATCACAGCTGGTCCCTTGAGGGAAGGATTGCCTTTGGCCACCCTAGATGGCCTGTGTGCTTTAAGGGAGGGACAGGGCCATGGAGCCCATACCACATCCATAAATGAATCTGTCCTTCTTTGATCAGAGTACCCTCAGGCCTCCAAATATACTCTGCGTTGACCAGAAACCCTCAGATTACAGCGTTTGGAGTTCAGCAAAGGTCAATCCCTCAAGGACTTGTGGCTTCTCCACAGATAATTTTGGTCTCTCATTTCTCCCTTACAAATGTCCCCAGGCCAATCCTGGGCCAATCTGAGGGAGTGGCAGATGCCAGCTCACCCAGTTGTCTGGGTAGCCTCGCCCT